AAATTTTAGGTTTTCGGTTTATTGCGAAATTCACCAAGTATAACTCACTGAGGAAGTACCTTAAGAGCTATACAGAAAGATGTCAAAGTAACAGCTATCACACGTGGCGCATTCCGATCACTGATTTCAGCTCAACCCAAGGCGGCGGTCACATTCGGGTGCAATATTTTGATTTTTTCCGCTCGTGGTAGTGGGAGTTTAGTCTCATAGTCACTATCTTGTTCTTCATTGTCTTCCATTTGTTCCAAAACTTCCCGAGTATCTTCAAAGTCATCAAAAATGTAATTGGCACCGTGTGCAGCAATTCCGTTCGGTCCAGCTAGAAGATAAGATAAACGAATAAAAATTAGTTACGGAATGATGAAAAAAAATTATAAATTAGTGTTGAGTGTCGATGAAATTAACACGGGAGAGTCCTAGTAGGTTTTCCTCAATAGAGAACATACATATGGGACATTCTATGTCAACTCAGCCACACCGAATTTTTTTCTTGTCTGGGAAAAATCATTGAGTAGATGCATTTTGAACTACTACATATAGACAGTGATCATGCAAAATTTCATTGCCCTGCCACTATTTGTTTCTGAGATAATCATTATGAAACTTGAAATTTTCAAAAAATCATTACTTCTGAATGGAGCATCCGATTTTGATGAATAAAAAAAGAAAATTTTCGTTTTTTCTCGCACTTCAAGATAAAAAATACTTCAGAGCCGTCAAAAAGCTCCTAGACCGGTTTTTCGAGAACTTTTCGTCTTTTCATTTTTTTAATTTTTTTTTTATGATAGAGGATGTCCTTATATGATATGAAAAAAATACGCCATAATGGAAGAGCAAAGCAATGCGCCGGAAAAAAAATTGTTTTTCGAAATTTTTGGGTTTTTCAGTTTTTAGGGGAGATCCATCGGTTTTTTTTTAAAGAAATGAGTCTGTCAACCATTATTCTTCGTTCATATATGATGACATAAGACTACACCATCATGTGACGGAGAAAGAGTGCGGCGAAAACAAAATTTTTCGTCGAAATTTTTTACTGAAAGGGTAGATAGTTGAATTGAACATTATCATCATCGGAAGTTTGATTAATTATGATCAAACAAATGAGAGGAAGAAACAAACGGAATCAATTAATTGATTTATCATCATCAGTCGGTTCCACGGCTTTAATTCTAGAAAAAAATCTCAATTTCTCGATTGATTTTTTATCACCATACGATTCTGTGTGGATGGATTACCGAGCTCCTAACTTATTCTATTCTTACAACGAGGTAAGGAATTTTCACGTTAATTATATACAAATGATCTTTATTCTCGGAATTGATGTCTTCGGATTTCATAGAATGCCGCGGAGTGATAGATGTGCGAATCCAATGCGGGCTCCTGGTGAGAAGGGACACCTCGGTTATAATTTACGTCCGATTTCCTTAATACTACACGAGAAATTTCCTTTTGTACCATTGTCTGCGAAAATCTGTGGTCAATGCCGAACGAGAGCTCCAACTTATGCCATTCCTCCATCTGTTCCCACGGTTAAACTTAATGCTACACATCTTCAGCATTCGGAAACTCCACCCGATATANGTGCAACCGTGCACGGTAAAGGAGCTTGTGACGGAGTAGGAGCTGTCTTTAAGAGAGAAGCGAGACGTAAGTGCTTGCAAATCGTTCATGGTGAACCNTAATTTACGTCCGATTTCCTTAATACTACACGAGAAATTTCCTTTTGTACCATTGTCTGCGAAAATCTGTGGTCAATGCCGAACGAGAGCTCCAACTTATGCCATTCCTCCATCTGTTCCCACGGTTAAACTTAATGCTACACATCTTCAGCATTCGGAAACTCCACCCGATATATCAATGCTCCAAGCCGAAACATGTGACCCAAGTCTGGATGTGATGAACAGTTCTCTGAGATCAGGTCGATCTTTCCATCTTGANACTTCGGCTAACGAGGTTTTCCCAAAGCAAAAACAAACAACAACAAAACGAAAAACCCGCAAAAGACAGTAATCGTGATGTAAATAATTCATCAGTGCATGTTGGAACTTGTCGTCGAATAGAGTGGAGAATTTCTCCGTATTGTAAAAATGTAAAAATGTGAAAATATAAAATGTTGTCGTTATAGAAGAATAAAAATTGTTTTTTTTCCATACTTTTTCGTTAGTGGACAGCTCAGTGTGTTGCTGAGAAAAGATTTATAGTTGTATCAATAGTCTATTCTATCCAACAGAACAGAAAATGTCTATTGACAAACCCCTTTTTCAGTAACAATAATGCAACTCACCTAAACGACAGACAAACGTAAAAATCTCGAAGAAAATTTTTTTTCGGAGCATTCTTTCTCTCTTACATGATGGCGTACTNAAATATTGCAACTCTAACTCAAGATTCCCCCTGTCCACTCAGAGACTACAAAGATTGTCTAGCAAAATTGATGTGTACAAATCCAACCCCGGCCTGTCATCTG